ACTTTCTAATTTCATAGTCACGTTTAGCCTTTCTAATCCCCTTTTTTACTTCTCTTTTAAACTGTGCATATTCTGATGCGTCTATAAATTCCCCTTTTCTTCCCTAATGTTTTAGCCTCCTGTTAACCCATTTGGGATCGTTATTATTAAACCTAATTTCTCCCTGGAGAAAGTATATACTCTGAGCACGGTGTACATCATTAAGAAAAAAATCATAAATGCAGATCCCTTCGTAATCATAAGCATGATCATCGTCATCATATGTGCATGCTGATAAACTGTCACCAACTTGTCACCAATAATTAAATACCTGTATATTTTGAGTTTTCTGTGTATTTCGAAATTTTCTTAGTTCATTATTTACTGAAGCAGCAACAACATCGTAGAGTTGACAGTAACTCGTTATGAATAGGGCTAATTTTGATTTTACAGTCACGTTTAACATCCTTTTATTAGCCTAATGCTCAATGACCACAAAAGCATTTTTATTATTGTCCACAGTTATTTGTTTACATATTTCAAGGTTCAAACTATTAATCTAAAGAGCTATTTCGTAATATAGAAAATTATTAATACAAATATTTTTGCCTTTTCTTGGTCGTTTTTAATATTATTATATTTAGTACAATTTGCATTTCCACACTTGATAAATAAGACATATATGCAACACTTGGGTATTTTTATTATGGAAACGTTTCGCAACACATTGACTTCATCAGTCTATTACAAAGAAAAATGGTGAAGATCAGGAGCTTGAGGTAATCAATCCCTCCAAGCTGATCCTGTGGAGACAGTCGGGTTCCATTTCCATTAATGTATACAACTCACAAAGTAGATTTTTCACTTCTACTCATATGGATGGTTTCCAGCTTCCACTGGTGAACCACTCGTTACCTTTTGAGTTTCTGGAGCTTTCCAGTGTACTGAATTCCTCATAGATTTATGTTTCACTTCTCGTAAACTCTCCATCCTTCTTCATTCTTATTACTTAGATTTATATCGTTGTCTTCTTCTCTTGTGTCTACGTAGCACTGAATCTGTCGACCAGTTTCATTCCTCATCGTAGCGTAATCGTTTCTAGGGCATCTGTTTGGTTTCCAATTTTTTTCCATGTTACTGGACTTTTGTTATTTCTCCTCTGATACTGTTGGTGAGCCATTAACTCTTGTCTTCTTACCGTTGAGTCTTCTTTATCTGGCCATAAATTCTTCTTTTACTTCCCGGAACTTTCCAGCAGGGTAATACATCATTCCATTCGTCTTTCTTTCCAACTGTAATGTATTCTGGAATTCTCTCATTCTTGCTTAATCTTCTATCCTGAAATTTCATTCGTCCATTTTTCCACTAGCTATGCCCTTCACCATATTTACTTCCACTTGATATACGAAACTTACTAGTGTGGCCACTAACATCCAGAAACCTTCAATAGTCTACTTCTCTACTGCATAAATAACAGATGTGCAAAGGATTCGATCAGATCAAGTCTTGTTTCGTTACCTCTTTCTCTCTTTTCTCGCCCCTTACATTCTGGAATGAGATTTTCGGTCACCACTTCAAGCATATTACACCGCCGCATGTCAGTCTTCCGTGTGGTTCCCTCCCAGTCTTATTCTTCATTAATGCGTAAGATACTTGTGTAACACTAGGGTGTCTTTATTGCCGAAACGTTTCTCTTGCACAACAATCTCCATCAGTCGAATACAGAGGTGAAAACAATACCGGACTTAGAAGGAAAAAGTTTGTCTGTATGTTTAACAAAATTTCGTGTACATGTGCGACTAGAAGTGAGATGTTTGGGTTAAAGGCTTGTTTCAGGGGGAAGCAGACCCCAGTCCGTCCCCCAAACCTCTCTCTCGCACAACAATCTGGGAAAGGATGGTTTGTTTAAATAAGAATCGAAAAAAATCATCGTGAATATTTCTCTATGTTATTGCGTTGTTCACCTAAGTGTTTTTCTTCCAAAGTCCGGCATTTTTCAGTAAATAGCGAAGCTTTATACCCTGTCATTGGGGAAGTTAACTCATTTATGTGTGAGCCATTTTGGGAGAAGTGCTTTTCCCTATGTCTTTCTCACATAACTTTTTCTGAAAAACCTTCTCATCGGTTCACTGTCTAATTTATGATTTTACTCAGATTTTCATATGGTTTAAATTATTACCTAAGTTTTATTGAGCTCCTTTTTAGGGCTAAAGGGCCTATTCTAGCAACAGGGGTATATCTCGGTCTTCAGTTGGGTGACCCAAATTTTTGTTCTATCTTCCGTGGGGATTATTTCTAGCTCAAGCGAGGCAAAAGCAAAAGACCTAATACTAAAAGGGGTGAGGGAAACTGAAGATAACATCACTGAGAGGGTGTCCCTAGTCGAAGCATTTTTACATTTGATTGTTTTAAAATTTTTGTGCCTGCAAAATGTTTCGGCTTAAAGAATCTAAGGTTGCATTTTCTTACTTATCAACTTTTCAGAGTTGAAAAAATTTTTTTTTACGTCACTTGCCCAAAACTGTAAAAACAATGGGATCTTGTATGGGGTATCTACTCAACTCTACTGCAACTTGTTTAGGTATATTTTTTCTCTTCAGTTCTCCCTCTTTTCCGATATCTTTTGTTCCCATTTTCTAACTCTTCTTATTTCGTCCCAGGTAAAAAAAGACTTTGTTTAATTAGCTTAGACTGGTGAAAGTAAAACCGCGCTCTCTTTCCCTCACTTTTATTCTGACACCAGTCAATTATGTACAAATAAAAGAATGGAAAAAGTGCACTGAAAAAGAGTTAGTGTGTGTGTGTGTGTGTGTGTGTGTGTGTGTGTGTGTGTGTGAGTGTGTGTGTGTGTGTGTGTGACTCAACAATCAATATTTGCACCAATAACTCATTACAGTTGTGGCCGGGTGTGGAAGTGTGAATTGCTCATTACTCTATAATTTGTTCATGATTGTAGCCATGTATAAGCGTAAGTAACCATTCTTACAGGATTCATTACCTTTGTACCTAGTTCAGCTATCAAAACTTTGGGGGCCCAGTCCCTGGACCCATTACGTACCTCTGTAATCTGTAAATATTTTGTAACTTGTCATGATTGTGACCAGACCTACCTGGAGTTCATTACATTTGTAAATTGTAACTTCATTACCTTTGTAAATTGTGAGTTCATTACCTTTGTAACTTGCTCAGCTATCAAAACTTTGAGGTCCAGTCCCTGGACCCATTATGTACCTCTGTAATCTTTTGACTACCGCCCACAGGATGGATATGGGGTGCATAATGAAGATATTAAACTAAAAACTAACTATTTAAACTCGCTAATTCTGCATTTGTTGATATACCAATTCCCATAAATATTTCATTTTTTTAGAATTTTGGATTTCTCTTAGGATTATGTTTAGTGGCCCAAATCGCAACCAGTTTATTCCTGTCTATCCACTTTACTTCGCACATTGACTTGGCTTTTTCGAACGTAGCACATATCTGTCGAGATGTAAACTACGGATGATTATTCGAAACCATTCATGCAAACGGAGCATCATTTTTCTTTATTTGCATTTACTCTCACATTGGTCGAGGTATTTACTATGAATCATTTGTTCTTTTCCACGCCTGAAGAGTAGGGGTTTTAATTTTATTCATAACAATAGCCACAGCCTTCCTTGGTTATGTTCTACCCTGGGGACAAATATTTTGAGGTGCCACAGTGATTACAAACCTATTCTCAGTCATCCCTTACATTGGAACAGATTTAGTTCAATGAATTTGAGGGGGTTTTGCTGTAGATAACGCTACCTTAACCCGATTTTTTACATTCCACTTTCTTTTACCATTTTTAATTGCTGCAGCAACACTCGTTCATATTTTATATCCACCACTCTGGAGCTAGCAACCCCTTAGGAGTGTCTTCCGCTATAGACAAAATTCCTTTTCACCCCTACTTCACATTTAAAGACATTGTAGGATTTCTAATTATATTTATAATTTTGACCTTCCTAACCCTTTTAAACCCCTACCTTCTTGGAGACCCTGATAATTTCATTCCTGCTGATCCTTTAGTTACACCAGTTCACATTCAACCTGAATGTTGTTTAAGTTTAATATGTTTATTATGCTCCCCATACCCATCCTGTGGGCGGTAGTCAAAAGATTACAGAGGTACATAATGGGTCCAGGGACTGGGCCTCAAAGTTTTGATAGCTGAGCAAGTTACAGAGGTAATGAATTCACAATTTACAAAGGTAATGAACTCACAATTTACAAAGGTAATGAACTCCAGGTAGGTCTAGTCACAATCATGACAAGTTACAAAGGTATTTACAGATTACAGAGGTACACAATGGGTCCAGGGACCGGGCCCCAAAGTTTTGATGGCTGAACTAGGTACAAGGTAATGAACTCACAAGTTACAAAGATAATGAATACTGTAAGAATGGTTACTTACACTTCCACACCCGGTCACAACTGTAGTGAGCGAATGGTAATTCTTATTTGCATATGCTATTCTCCGCTCAATCCC